AATCAGTGAGATCATTCATTATGTGAAGAAACAGGTGTCATTCAGGTGGCCCTTATTTAAGGGTGAAGCCAGCACATGTTGTACATGCAATTCTCTCTGAAAACTTGAGAAAGATGGGTCGTGCCAGACATTGTTCAGAAGAAAAGCGTGCTTTAATTAAAATGTTGATTTGAGAGGAGAAAACATAAATTAGTGCAGAAAATGGTAGGCTGCTCAGCTAAAATGATCTCCAATGCTTTAAAATGGAAAGCCAAACCAGAGAGACGTGGAAGAAAGCGGAAGACTACCATTCGAATGGATCGAACAATAGCCAGAATGGCAAAGAATCAGCCAATGATGAGCTCCAGGGAGATCAGAGACGACCTGAAGTTACCTGTGAGTACCGTGACAATTAGAAGACGCTTGTGTGAGGCTAATCTATCGGCAAGAAGCCCCCGCAAAGTCCCACTGTTTAAAAAAAGAGTGCTGAAAAATGTGCTGAAGAGGATGCAATTTGCTAAAGACCATATCGACTGGCCTAAAGAGAAATGGAGAAACATTTTGTGGACTGATGAAAGTAAGATTGTTCTTTTTGGCTCCAAGGGACGCAGACAGTTTGTCAGACGACCCCCAAAAACTGAATTCAAGCCACAGTACACCGTAAAGACCGTGAAGCATGGTGGTGCAAGCATCATGATATGGGGCTGTTTCTCTTATTATGGTGTTGGGCCTATTTATCGCATACCAGGGATCATGGATCAATTTGCTTACATCAAAATACTTGAAGAGGTCATGCTGCCTTATGCAGAAGAGGAAATGCCCTTGAAATGGGTGTTTCTACAAGACAACGACCCCAAACACACCAGTAAGCGTGCAGCATCTTGGTTCCAGAACAACAAAATTAAGGTTATGGAGTTGCCAGCCCAATCCCCGGACCTTAATCCAATAGAAAACTTGGGGTGACATCAAAAATGCTGTTTCTGAGGCAAAACCAAGAAATGCAGAGGAATTGTGGACAGTTGTCAAATCATCCTGGGCTGGAATACCTGTTTACAGGTGCCAGAAGCTGGTTGACTCCATGCAGCACAGATGTCAAGCTGTTCTCAAAAACAGTGGTTATACAACTAAATATTAGTTTAGTGATTCACAGGGATGCTAAATCTTCACATTTTTTTCAATTTATTGAGTAAATATTTGAGTTTGTAATGAAAAATGCAGACACTGCTATTTTTTTGAACAGCCCAATACAATTTTTTCCTTCATTTTCTGTTAAGTAATTAAAATATTGGTACTTTTTTTCATGGTTTGATGTAAAATATAATGTGGGGTTCCCAACGAATGGAAATAAAAATAAAAATATAAGGATTTTGAGCTTTACTCACGTTTTATAAAACACTGCTATTATTTTGAACACAACTGTATAAGCGTAAACAACTAATGATACTTTAGAAGTTATTCTTGAGAAGTTGGAAGTTATTCTTGAGAGGATTTGCGTATTAACAACTGTTGTACAAGATTTCCTTGAATACTTCTCCAGTCATTTATTTTGCTTTATTGTTGGACCTGTTTTGTTTGACGTTATGCTATTAAAACGAATCGACTATCTACCAGCTGCTTCCACTTCTTGCCTGAAGACATCTCGCACAGCAAGAATCTTTCAGGTGTGCTACTGCTTGGTTGGAACAAAAACCTGCAGCCACAGCGGCCCTTCGTGGAACAGTTTGGGCACCCCTGGCATACACTGTTGGTGAGAGCATGACAACACACTTGACATTACTGCCCTCAAGCTTCTGCATTGTTTGTGATGCTTTGTTTTTATGCTCTCAGTTTTTAGTAACTTCTAAAACCTTTTTTTTTTACATTGTGGTGATACATTTTTGATTCAAATTATGAGTTAGACTCCCGTCAAAAATATTTACCATTGTTTCCTCATTGGATATACACTACCATTTCATACCTGAAGTGGTTGACCAGGTTGGTCATGCTGAGGAAGGACAGGACAAAGGAACCAGGCCGGCGGTCACTCTCCCTGATGAGGTAGCTGCCAGGGTTCCGGGCCTGGCGCAGCCGCTCCTCAGCGATGGTTCGGTCAAGCTTGCCATGGTACCACCTAAATAAAACAGGAGAAAAAATGTTACAACGTTGAAAAGATAATAGGGGCAGTGAGCATCTAACCACAGCATGGAAAAGTGATGTCTGTGTGACAAGTTAGTAATATTTAGATGTAGGGTAAATGTGTAACTGAAGTTACAAGGCTATGGACAATGGAAGTAAGAAAAAAATAATGTGATAAAAATGAATAAATTATATAATAATAAAATTATGGAAAAAAGCACAATAACAATAACTGTTCATTAACAACTCAGACTTTGCGAACAATGACCGATATGTTAAAATATTAAGTGTGAAAGATGTTTAGTTTTTATTGCCTTATCTGCAAATTTAGCCCAACACACAAAAGTCTGTAGATGACTCATTACTTGACTCCATCTAACCACAACCTTATCAAATATTGACAACACACAATATTTACTTCCTCTTTCCCCTGTTTAAAAATATCACAAATTATGATACAGATTTACAACAACTGGTGTAACTTTAGAAACACCCAACATACAGTACATGCCAGAGGTCATATTATGGCAGCTCTTAAGACTTAAGCATGTTTGATTCTAGCCTTGACAGCAGGACAATCCTTGAAATATTCAGATAGATAGAAAAATGTTCATGAGGTTTAAGTCAGGTTTTAAAGTAATTTTCACAGGGCGTCAAATGACAGTTTACTGCACACAGGTTTGTAAATCAGCCACAGTGCCAAAGAGCTGTTGTGAACACAAGACCCTTCTACATTTTAATCGATTACAACGCATTGATTTGATGCACAATCAGGTCTTAATGTGTGTATGTAGCAGAATTTATTTTTCAAAACAGTGCTACTTGTGTTTTGCTTGTTTAATTTAAGTAACAAAAACATGGAAGAATGTGACACTGATCCTTAATAAAATGTACCGTATTTTCCGCACTATAAAGCGCACTTAAAAGCCTTTAGTTTTCTCAAAAATCGACGGTGCGCCTTATAACCCGGTGCGCCTTATGTATTACTTCTGGTTGTGTGTACTGAGCTCGAACCGATTTTATAAAGCCAAACCACACAGCGCATCACACATGATGGCACACAACTGAAGCACACTGGGAGCCAACAATGACATTTAACTGTTAAACTCTGTTATCACAATTAAAAGATGCTCAACAACAATTGTTACAGTATGGTTGTGTAACCCAAATCCACGCAACATCTCGTCGTGCCTCCCAACACCCGGAGACTCTACACGTTGTTTTTGAATTGAAGATGTATGGTGCAATGCAAGACGACTCAGACGCATGGCTGTCGATTTTTTTCGTGGTCAAAAAATATTTTTATATCTCCCATTATATCGATACAGGAAACACAAACATACTCTCTCTGCAAAAAACATCCGCACTTCCGCACGGAACAGCGACAAAACAACAATACGGTATAAGCCATAAGGTGAACCCGATTATCTTTTCATCTCGCTCCGACGTCTGGGAACCACACGATCTCAACTTCATGAATAAGAACGAGTTACGTTAAACTTACAGCAAAAAGTTCAACGCAACATATCCTGCCTGTTTTTTATATCGATGCATTTTATAAAGAACTAGCATCTTCAGGGCGCAATAAGATTTTGGTGCGCGAGCGGTGGCACGGTTCGACGCGTGCCATCGTGCTACATTGGCAACACGGCTACCTCCGTGGTTCTACTTAACGTTACCGATAGACAGGAATTCTCCCAAAAGTCTGTATATACAAGTCTGTATATACGTTTTAATAAAGCTTTTTTTATGATTAATCAGTGTTGTATTTAGTTAGGAGAGAATACATGAACGAATGAATAAACAAATGGTGCTTGTCATTGATTACTTCCTTTTATTGATCAAAATGACTTAACATACAAAGTTTACCTTATCGTCTTTTTTCCTCATTGTTCTTCGTGCAGGCGGCTTTGTATAAAGCACTTTTTAGAACCCATTTGGCCCACTTTAGAAGACCGCTGGGAGAATTCCTCTCTATCGGTAACGTTAAGTAAAACCATGGAGGAAGCCGTGTTGCAAGCATTAGCATTAGTAAAATCACAATTTAAAAATGAAAAATAGAAGAAGAAAAAAACGTCTTTACATTTTCTTGTGGCAGTTTGCTGTTTATTTTTATATAAACTCTGATACTGAATTATTGCATATTGCTGCCAGTTATTTCAACTGATGTGATTGCGTAAAGAAGACAGAAAGGCCTAAACCATGACAGAGGTGATAGGATATAGTTCTACTATCATCTTGTGGAATGCTTCATCATGTTGGTACATGAAATGTGACGTATCATTCTCTGCTCTACTGACACTCCACACAGCGTGATGCATTTATGTCTCTGCTTGTAGCTCACTCACAACCAACAAAACCCGGACCAAAAAAATCCAATAATGGAAAGTTCATTTGAGTTTCAGTGGCTAATTATTCACTTGCTAAACTTTTCAGTTTCTGTGGTCAATTACTGCAACTGTGTCTGAGCGCAAACATACAGTTTACTGTTCCTATGAAGTTATTTAGGAAATATATTTGTGCGAAGAATACTTTTAAGGTTCTGATAAACATGGTTACAATTTTCATTGTTTTCATATTATCATAAATAAAATAATGTTCTTCTTTGCTGTAACTACACTCCATTTCTTAAGAAAAGGAGCAAAACACAGCCATACTACAAAAATGAAGGGGATAAGGAGGCGTTTTTTTTATCACAGTAAACTTAAACCAGGCCTCATCTTGTCACTGAAATCCAAGAGAACAAGATGCTGAGATAAAAAGCAACAATATCCCTTTTAAGCATCACTTTGGAGAAGACTAATAATTTTTTTGTGGTGAACATTTTTAGAAATCAGTTTAAGAGAAGAAAAAAGGAAACTGTCTTGTTACTAAATCTAAGGAACATAAATGAGTTCCAGCCCATTTTTTTAATGCTGATTAGCAACAAATGCAGTGCAGTGACTAAATAGTAGTCCTAGACAGTTACACTTACTGACATTAGTGTGTCTGTGAGCTGTTGGTTTTCATCAGTAAGATACACAGCACAGTCCATCATGTCCAAACCAGTCTGACCACATATTTAACTTTAATTTAAAAAATATATATATTTTCAAAGAAAGTAGGAAACAACTTTCTTCAGATATATCTGTGACAAGCTACCATCTAAATGTAAAAAAGCCTCAAAATGAGGACACCACTA